TCTATTATTTATTTTTTTATGGCATAAGCCGGTAAACGAGCAGACGGATCACCGGCAATCGGCATCGCCCATGGACACCTGTAAAACCAAGGTGTTAACAGCCTTTCGGGAATTGGGAATTTGTGGATTGTAGAGGATTCGGGGATTGGGGAGACTGGGCAGAGGGGGTAATTGGGCCTCCGGTAACCTCACTCACACGAGGAAACACAACGCAAGCGTTGTTTCATGTCGGTTTTCTGTGAGGCTGTATCACTCCGGTCGAGCCGGCCCATTTGTGCCGAAGCATGCAAAAGACCAGTGACGCACTTGTAACGCCTCTGGTGTTTCAGGTGTCCATGGACGACGCCGATTGTTTACCATCAGGTGATCCGTCAGCTCGTTTACTGGCTTATGCCATAAAAAAGTAGGTTACGCTCGAATACTGAAATGCTACTCAATTATAAGTTGTACTTAAATATTGTGCCATCTCTGTCGTTATACAAAGAATTTGTAGTGACAGAACTATTACGCGCGACTTAAAATTGAGTAACGTTTGAGTATTTGAACATTAGGTTAATGTAGGTACATACATACTTTATATGAAACAGTGTAATTTACAAGTATTTTACAGTGCAAAAAACCATTAGTTTAACTACTCGTCGCGGCGCTGCTCATGAGGAAGAACCCCTCTGTGGTTCGAAACTAGTAGAGCTTTTCTCTGTATATTCACGTGAGTAACCCGCGATTTTTAGTTAATTTAGTACGTCTCACGATAGTTATTATAAAAACAAACCATAAGTTGTTCCGTGGAGAAAATGTCGTGATAATGTGTTATATTTCTTTAAACTTTTTTCCTTAACAACGGAAGAATATTCCCGGGAGAGCGATCAATTATGGGAACGACGTAACTGCACTCTACTTCAGTATTCCGAGACTCATTATTGATATAAATTGTAAGTAGAGCAGCCAACTCGACGTCTCTCTGGCTAGTCTATGAGGATGAGAATCTACGACATTGTTTTGTTTTAAAAATATTCAAATTAAACTGTCTTTTGTTATTCTTATGTGTTGCCAAGGACAGTGCAATGTTACTGAAAAAAATAACGCCATCTGTAGCCATGGGATGAAATCAAATCAATATTATATTATTATTTTATTAGAATCAATACCATATGAATACTAGAAACTGAAAAAAAAACTTATTTTCATGATTATAGCAATATAGTATGTGATATTTTTAGATTTGCTTGTTTAAAATCGTTAATCGAGTCGCTTCTCCTAATGTATTGGTTTTCAACTGTATTAAATTGTCTATACATCTATATACAGATAAATATAATTAAAGTGTCTGATTGTAATATTAAAACAACCGCATTTTACTGTATGCAGATGAATACATACGATACATATACCAAAATAACACTTTTACAATTTTTGGCTGTCTTTCTGTTTGTACTGACTAATCTTTGTAATGGCTAGACGGATTTCGAGGGGATTTTTATTGGCAGGTAGCTGATGTACTAAGAAGTAATATAGGCTACTTTTATTTTAGAAAATAACAGACACCGTTTCAGTTACAACTAGTAGTAAATCTTATACTATTATATAAAGCGAAGAGTTTGTTTGTTTGTTTGTACGCGCTAATCTCCGTAACTACAAGTCTGATTTGAATATTTCTTTTTGTGTTGGATAGTGCATTTATCAAGGATGACTATAGGCTATAAAACATCACGCTACGACCAATAGGAGCTGAACAGAGCCTGTGAAACCGCGCGGAAGTAGCTAGTAAGTAAATATAGTTTTAGAATGTCGCATTTCTTAGAGTTTGCGACCCATTGATAGTGGTTCTTAAATAGTACCTACATTAATTTTTAATCAGATTCATCGTCCGTTCCTTGCAGGAGAATATACAAGCATCAGTATAGTATTCATGACTTTTAAATGAGTAATGTTCGCTAATGAGCGTACATTCTCTAGTAACTATGTACTTAGCTATTGGGCAACGACATCTAGTGACATTAGTAATTAGTTGATACGAGTTCTGTGCCTAATTAACCTCTTGGCAGGTGTAGATAGCATACACTACTATTACATGTAATTAATATCTCTGTTTACATTATTTTCTAAGTAAGTTGTGGTGGTCCGGAGGTTTAAGATGCCCGCTTCTAATGCACAAGGTCGCGGGTCCGAAACCTTCCAATGGCAAATACCAATGTGACTTTTTCAGAGTTATATGTACTTTCTAACATTATTTAGACACCACTGACAAACGGTGAAGGAAACCTGGCCTTATAATTTTTAATTATAAGTCTGAAATCGCCAACCAAATGGTGATGAATGGTGCTCAAACCTTCTCCGTGTGAGAAGAGGCCTTTGGTCAGCAGTGGGCATTTATAGGCTGTTGATGATGATGATTATTATTATTTTCTTAATAATAGTAGTATGTATATAAAATTACTAAATTATACTACACATGAAATCAAACCCGCAATACCACGCTAGTCAGCTGTTATTATTGCATTCAATGAATGGAATATTAAACCTACTTAATCAGCTAGTTATTTAATCGCACCGAAAATGTATAATTCAAAACATATTTTCTACCTACAACCGGTTTTGATATCGTAAATGAAATAACAATTATAAAACCTATTATCGAAGTAATTAATATTACGTCTTACCAAACAAATTATTTTTGTCATTGAGAATTTCATTTAATACTTTAAAACATTATAACATCATTTATTTAGTCCAAAAATGGTCCCAAATATAATTATATTAGTAAGTACTAATTAAATGTTTGTCTTAGTTTTTGTAAAAATCTTTAACTCTGTGTGAAAGTGTATAATTAAGTGTTTTGTATTGGTTTTGTTTTATTCTGATGTAGGTACATTTTTGTTTAACTTCTACTATTGTAACTGTTTGATTCTTTTTACTAGACTGCCTCGTTGGCCGAGTGGTCGTAAGTGCGATTGCCGGGCAAGGGGTCTCGGGTTCGATTCCCGGGTCGGGCAAAATATTACTGGGTTTTTAAATATTCTCAGTAGTAGAACGGAGTCTGGAATTGTGCCCGGTATATGGCAATAGGCTCACCCCCTATTACATGGGACTCATAACATAAATAGTGAAAAGTGGGTGTTACATTGTACAGTGGTATAATGTGCACCTCTGCCTACCCCTTCGGGGATAAAGGCGTGATGTTATGTTATGTTATGATTCTTTTTAATTCTCTTTGTGTGGGTGTTAATATAATTGGTGTAAAGCCGTGTTAACATAACAATAATAATAAATGAATATGTCAGCACTGCCAGAACCGTCTTATCCCTAAGACAAACTTGGCAAGAGCCAAGAGCGCCACGTTATAGAGGGGCGACTCCGCGAGATGCGCGTGCTCATAAAGTGAGGGTAGCATAAAAAAAAATTAGTCGCGTCTATGGCGAAAGCTCGATATATTTTATCGTGATATTAGTATCGTAATCTAGTATCACGATATTTATAGTCACACAGTCATAGTATTTGTCATAGTACAACGTTGTAATAATAATTATATTAGAAAGACAGAACGAAAAACAGTTTATTTGCATCGTTACAAAATTAAACAAACAAAAAAAAAGAAAAAAAAAACAGAACAGTGTTCACGGTGCAAAAAGGCCAGTGCTCAGCTAAAATACAATTAAGTATTACTTTATAAATATCACGATAAATACTGAACGTGTAGCATTCGCCTATGAGGTGCATACCTAGGACGTTCTCTAAGATAATTCTGCCTCTGAGTATCTAATAACAATTAGTAAAACTTACTAATAAGTCCTAATAATTTGTATTTCAAAGTACTATAAACAAACCAGTGTTAATTTATTGAATGTACGATATACATGTGTTACTGTTCAGGGTCAGTCGTTGAAATATAACACGTATATGTATTGTTGCATAACTACTATTGTTATTTGAAGCTCATGAAACTACAAAGTATGGAATAATCCTTATACACAGTACTTTACCAAAGAAGCAAGTCCTGAATTATATTATTTGCAATAAATAAGTAGTTTAATTTACATAACAAACTCCTAACATCAATTATACGACATAGTTATTCTAAAAGATTTACGTATTGTTGGCATTTACTTCTGAACTTTGTTAAATGAACTCGTTCGAAAAGATCTTATAGTTTCGTAACCAGTAGGTTATTTGACTTTAACTACAAAAATGGTTTAGGAATAAGTGCAACCCGCAGAAACTATTACAGAAAAAAAAAGCCAAATAAGGTAAAGATTTCGGTCTTAAACTGTCAAACACCGCGAGGACACCGGCGACCGCAACCTATTGTTCTTTAATTGTGTCTAGTGACGGTACTCAAAGAGTTAAAATCGTCGGGAAACCGGCGCAAACCTTAAATATAACGATGCTATTATTTCTGCAATTTATAATTAAGAAATGAGGTTTTAGTTAGACCCATAGTCAGGTTGACTGACTAGGTTTATTACTTAGATAGCATGTAATGGTTACCCTTTGACGGGCCAGCCAGCACGCGGCCTAACCTTGATATCAATATGGCCGCTTATCTACATGACCATGAGCTTCTAAATATTATTAAAATTAAACAATATAAATATGAGTACATTGAACTTTTAAAATAAGTTTTACTACTATTATTAGATAAGTCAACTATACAAGATCCGGTTCTCATGCACCCTCAAATTATTTAAATAAAATTTTACTATCGTATATCAAAATAAAAAAAATATACCTAAGTGTGAATAACCTTTTTATTGTTAGATGAAATAGATAACGCGTTAGAATCGGCCACACGCTAGAAGTTAAAAGTAAACATTTGTATTTTGGTCACACACACACACACACGGCGCTGTGTGAACGCCGGCCGGTGTTGAGCAAAACAAGTTTTAATATAGTACAAATATAATACCTAGGACTCGAATATGTGGAGGACTATATCCCTTTCACAAAACATGTTTGTATCTACATTAGAAAAAAGTAAGGAAGCTTTTAAAAAATCAACTTACCCTAAATCTATACTTTCCAATCGGTGGCCTTGCATAAGGAACGCCCTGGAAGCTAGCGTAGGACCTGCCTTTAGTGGACACCTTCCAAGATCCCTGCAGTAGCCCATGAGCCACACGGATCGTAGGATTAGGGCCCTCAGCAGCCACTAAACCTACGACCGTTAAAAAAAGAAATAACTTTAACGACATTTTTTCAAAAATAGAACAAAATAGTACCACTACACTAGCAGGCGTGCGCCAACGCAGATCGCTGGCGCGGTACTGAATTCCAAATGTTAAAAGTATATAATCAGTTAGTGAGACTTGCCGGTGCACAGATAATAATATTGTCATTAAGGGCGCTCACAGATATCTTTTATGCTTGAGTCTTGACCGATTACACTTCGCAAGGCCGGAGGAATCACCTTCCTATCCAATCTACTCAAACCGTGAATCCCTAACAATCCTCAAATTCATAATAACATCACGCCTTTTATCCTCAAAGGGGTAGGCAGAGGTGCACATTATACCACTGTACAATGTAACACCCACTTTTCACTATTTATGTTATGAGTCCCATGTAATAGGGGGTGAGCCTATTGCCATATACCGGGCACAGTTCCAGACTCCGTGCTACTACTGAGATTTTTTTAAAAAACCCAGTAATACTTTGCCCGACCCGGGAATCGAACCCGAGACCCCTTGCTCGGCAGTCGCAATTGCGACCACTCGGCCAACGAGGCAGTCTTATTCCATAAAAAAAATACAAGTGATTATTACATTTACAATATTTATGCCTGTTCGCGGAAGATCTCTGTTTCTACTACATACCGATACCTACATAGTTTACTAATTGGATTGATCGTTATCTGATATTCTATTCTGAATATCAATATTGTGGTTGCAAAGGTCTACTTAATGTTACATTTTGGTTTCAATCAAACCGGAAAATCGAGGTAATATATTAATTACGTTCGAAATATGTACCCAATACCTATCTAAACATGTTTTCGTTTAGTTAATTTTGAAAAACACGTGTACTGTTTTCGTTTGAATAAATTGTTATTGTACAGTTTACAAGCAATAACATTGTTCACGGCGTTCAGGAAGCAATAGGGTACATAGATGCCTAATTTTTATTTTAATGTCCGTCTGATACATTGTTTTAAATCATTAGACACGTATTTTTTATTTTCTTACAGAAACGAATACTTTCGACGATATATTTATTTGAAATGACGCGTGACGTCACTTCTATGTACATACATTTTATATGCAGAAATGACGTTTTAGCACCCACTCCTAAACTTTGATTCGTGTCTAATATTTTTGCATTACCTGACTTTATTTTAGCGATAAGGCCGCCCTTGTACCCTCTTTATTTTCTGTAATTCTTGATACTGTATAATTACTCGCTTGGTATACAATAAAGCATATTATTATGTATGTCTTAACCATTCACGGGACCACAGGGTCCCGGTCATTTGGGAGGCGTACGAGAGGCTGAAGCCAACTGCGCAGAGGCCCTTTAGACAACTTTAATATAAATGTAATGGGCACACAAACCGGCGACTATCCCTGTATGCACTATGGAAATGCACCCAAGGACAGTCCCGGGTTTGTGTAGAACTATTGTGAATAATGGAAAAAAAAGGTAGGGCTATGGATGGGTTGCTGTGGACTGGTAAATTGGGAACTATGGATGACTATGGCACCTGCCGAAACAATGTAATTTTTACACGTAAAAATGGCAGGCGGAGACTCGCCAACTCACCGACCGGGCCCCGGGAATGGTTGCTAGATATAGCAACATAGGGGCAACGAGAATGTGAGTGGCTGAAGGGTTAAGAATCTACCACCGCTTTCTACTCAGATCATCTGCTCCAGCCGAAGCCTCCTGCATCCCTGGCCCACTCGCGACTTACGAATAGTTTCTTACCCTCCGAGCAGGATCACTGCTCTCGCGACTCCACTCTGGACGGCCAATGAAGGCAAGCCAGAGGTGGGAGACCTGTTCCTTGTCATCTTTCACTCCAGCCAGCCAATTAAGGCAAGCCGGAGAAGAAGGGACGGTGACTTCTCCCTCGGGATGATGGTAGCCCGCGGGATCACTAATGCCCGTCACCTCGTCTCAAGGTGCCCTGCGGGCTTATTATTATTATAATCTATCAGACGGACATTAAAATAAAAATTAGCCATCTACCCTATTTCATTTCCAAGAAAATTTTATTTCTTAATGCTTCAAATAAATTTACAAGCAGTCTTTGTTCAAATCGTCGTTACCAGGTCACGTTTTAAATGGCAACACTTCAGGACAGCCAGTTACATTACATCAACATTTTCAATTTTGTATTATAGCCATGTAACATATCCATTGCTGGTTTAGTATTAAAGGTTGGTGTCGTTAAATAGATGTAAAACGGCAATGCATATCGCACAATGAGTAAAAGTAGGGTACTCGTTATATTTGAGTAAAGGATTCAAGATACACAGAAACCGTATGAATTTCTGAAATTAATTGGTGGCAATTGTTAACGCGCAAGTAATTTTGTATTCTATTACTAAATGTTTATGAAACATTTTTGATTAAATCGCGTCTCGTGTCCTTTCTGATGTTCTGGTACTGAGTATGAAAGTCGTCAAATAATTATGTTTCTAAGTAAAATGGAGTAGTAGAATAATCTGTATTTAATGAGATATTTATTTGGAAATATATTTTTTGTGGGTACCAATATGGCAGCCAATTAAGTTTCTCTTCAGATAAAATGATCTTTCTTCACTTTTTCTTAATTGATACGTTAATAACTAATTCATCATCATCAACAGCCTATACGCCCACTGCTGAGCAAAGCCTCTTCTCACACGGAGAAGGTTTGAGCATTAATCATTGCTCAATGTGGGTTGGCGATTACAAACTTATAATAACAAATTATAAGCCACGGTTTCCTCACAATGTCTTCCTTCACCGTTTGTCAGTGGTGTCTAGATAATCTTAGAAAGTACATATAACTCGGAAAAAGTCTCATTGTTACCTACTTGCCGGTGGTAGGTGTGCGTTTTAAACCTCCGAGTTATCGCGACTAGTAACTAATTGGTTATGAACAAATAAACGTCAATAGAATCTTACTAATATTATAAATGCAAAAAAAATATGTTTGTTTTTCCTTCCCGTCAAACGGCTGAAGGGATCGAGCTGAAAATTGGAACAGAGGCCTGAGTACGAGTTTCTTTTACGTTTAAAGTAATCGTAACGAGTACACGGTCGGCGCTGTGATTGGCCGGCTCCAATGAACCAACCAATCAGAGGCATTAGTACGAGTTTCATTTGCATTTAAAGTATTCGAAACGAGACTGCATTCGGCGGTCTGATTGGTTGGTTCATTGGAGCCGGCCAATCAGAGGCCTTAGTACGAGTTTGATTTACGTTTAAAGTAATCGAAACCACCACCAGCGCTCAGCAAAGTGTTTGAAAGGTTGATGCTTTCTCAAATGTTGCGTCACTTTAATATGAATTCTATCTTTCACGATCACCAATACGGATTCACCAAAGGTCGTTGCACTACTGACGCGGGAGTAGCTCTAATTAAGCGGGTGTTCGCCTCTTGGGAAGAGGCACGGGATGCCATCGGAATATTTTGTGATCTTTCGAAGGCATTCGACTGTGTTGAACATGAGACACTATTGCTGAAGCTGAAACACTACGGCATTCGGGGGACGTCGCTAAATCTGTTGAAATCATACCTTCAGGATAGGCAACTTAAAGGACAAGTAAATAAAGTAAATTCACAGGGTGCTAGCATATCTATGGGTGTACCGCAGGGCTCGATACTAGGTCCATTCTTATTTTTAGTGTACGTAAATGACTTGCCCCATTTATTTAAAAATGAACCGCAGATGGTATTATTTGCTGATGACACTTCATTAGTTTTTAAATAAATAGACGCACAAATAATTATGACGACGTAAATAATGCCCTAATTAAAGTTCAAAATTGGTTTACATTAAATAACCTAGTACTAAACAATAAAAAGACAAAATGTATTAGATTTGTTTTGCCAAATGTTAAAAGCAACGAATGTGACATAATATTATTGAATGGTGAGAAATTAGAGTTTGTAAAAGAGACAACTTTCCTGGGAATTACTGTAGACGACAAATTGCAATGGGGTCCTCATATTACATCATTAGCGGGACGATTGAGCTCTGCAGCGTATGCTGTCTGGAAGATACGACAGTTAACTGACATAGAAACGGCAAGACTAGTGTATTTCAGTTACTTTCATAGCATTATGTCGTATGGCATTTTGCTGTGGGGACACGCTGCTGACATTGAGTCTATCTTTGTATTGCAAAAGCGCGCCGTCAGAGCTATCTACAATCTAGGTCGTCGCGAATCTCTCAGAGAAAGGTTTAGGGAGATCAACATTATGACCGTTCCATGTCAATTTATTTATGAAAACATCATGTATGTTAGGAAAAACCTACAGTTATTTGGTAAAGTGTCGGACAGACACCACTATCAAACTAGACATGGAAATAGATTAAGTCAGCCAATTTCGAGATTGGCGAAAGTAAGTAAGTCGTTCATGGGATTCTGTGTTAAATGTTATAATAAGATACCAGGCGACATACAAAACCTAAATGAATCAAAATTTAAATTATGTATAAAGAAAACTTTATGTAAACAAGCGTATTACAAACTTAATGATTATATAGTTGATAAAAATGCTTGGATACAGGCTAGTCCGGCTCCACAGGATAACAAAAAACACTGATGTTTTAATGAAATTGTAAATAATACAGCCATTTTGCTAAATTGTATATTGTTTAACTTAGATAACCATTGTGAATGTGAGAGCCCTGTAATTAACTTAATATTAAATTAGACTAGTAGAATGCATTTGTGTCAGCGTGGAGTTGTCATGCTCACTCAAAGGTCTCATTGGCGGTGGCGCGTGCAGTGGATCGCTCGATTCCCTACAATATGGTTGATTTGGGCGGTGCTGGTGTACGTGTCATGTTCGTGAACGGGCGCCGTCAACTGGGACTGGTCAGCTCTAGACTGTATTATTTATTGTCTTTAAGGTTATTTTCTTTTTCAATCACTTTGACTAGATTTTAGTGTTACATTGTTCTCGCACAATCCAAACGGCAAACTATGTAACTGGACAATTGTATTGTGAACCTGATTGAAAAAGAGTAACCTATGGAGTTTCTTGCTCGTTCTTCTCCATAGGAATCTACACTTTGGAATGAGCAAATAGCTTCACTTCTAATTTTATTGTTGACGTTCAAAAGTGCCTTTCTGGTCTAATTGAAATAAATGATTTTGACTTTGACTTTGACTTGGAAAC